GCCCGCGGCTCTTCACGCTGCTGAGCCACGACTGAACTGCCAAGTTCAGCTCCAACCACATCATCAAGTTCGTGGATGACACAACGGTGGTAGGTCTCATCAGCAACAGTGATGAAACGCACTACAGAGAGGAAGTGGCAAAGCTGGCTGAATGGTGTGGCACTAACAACCTGTCCCTCAATGTGAGTAAGACAAAGGAGGTTGTGATGGACTTCAGGAGAAACTCTGTTGACCACCCCCCACTGACCATCGACAGCTCGACTGTGGAGAGAGTCAGCAGCACTAAATTCCTGGGGGTGCACATCACAGAAGATCTCACCTGGACCACCAACACCATGTCACTCTCCAAGAAGGCACAACAGCGCCTACACTTTCTCCGCTGACTGAAAAGAGCAAGTCTCCCTCCACCCATCCTAACCACATTCTACAGGGGAACTATTGAGAGCGTGCTGACCAGCTGCATCACTGTCTGATATGGGAACTGTAGCGCTGCAGACCGCAAGACTCTCCAGCGGACAGTAAGCACAGCTGCAAAGATCATCGTGCCCCTCTCCCCGCCATCCTGGACATTTTCCTTACACGATGCTCCAGCAAAGCCACCAGCATCGTGAAGGACCCCACCCATCCCTCCCACAGTCTCTTCCAGCTCCTACCATCAGGAAGACGGTACTGGAACATCAGAGCCTGCTTCACCAGACTGCTCAACAGCTTTTTCCCCCAGCCTGTGAGAGCCCTGAACTCAAACCCCGGCCCCCTCTGAAAAACCGCATAAAAACCCCTACCTCCTGAAACACGGACCATCTTAGCTCCCCCCAAACACTCCCCAACCTTACCACATCACGAAAAAAAAAGAAAACTCCTACCATCAGGAAGACGGTACCGGAGCATCAGAACCCGCTCCGCCAGACTGCTCAACAGCTTTTTCCCCCAGGCTGTGAGAGCCCTGAACTCAAATCACCCCGCCCTCCTCTGAAACCCCACACAAACCCCCTACCTCCTGAAACATGGACCATCTCACCTCCTCTCCACCCCCCAAACAAACTTTTTTTTTTGTGCAATTCGAAGTGTGCTACACACAGGTGAGTGGGCCTGTACAAACCACCAGTAGTAACACACTCTCCTGTATGTGCACTAGACACTTTTCACACAACTGTTGAGTACAAAATCCCACAAAAGACTCAATAACATATGTATGTTTACATGCTCATGCACTACAAATCATCTTGCTCTGTTCCCCAGCCAGCTGCTTGACTTTCCCTTTGCACATGTAAAGTAGTAGGTTAGCTGTGTTTAGGTTTATACTGTTTTACTTCATTGTTGTATGTCTGTATTTATGTAGCACCATGGTCCTGTGAGGCATGGCATTTCGTTCCACTGTATGTCTCCACATGTAGCGGAATGACAATAAAGATCAACTTGACTTGACTTGATCAAAGCCTAATGTTCACATATATGGGTTTCAGACATGATATAGAGTTATGCAATGAAATGACATTTGATTACAAGTTCTTTATCATCATTTTGAGGATGATCTGATGCATTTTAATATTTACTGCGAGTTTCTGGGTTTTAGAGTGGATTTGGTCATTTAAGCAAAGGTCTGTGATATCTCTTTGTTTTGAGTGGGGAAGAATCACCAGGTGTTTAGCTCATGAATTTCTTTGAGTCACGCTGTGCTTTTAACCATTTGTTCGTGGTTTAAAACAACATAAATTTCAATGGTTATTCCTTGATTTAAAAGGGTTTCTTTGTTTGAGGTTAATTAAACTGTGGGGGAAGTTTATCATTCTCAGTCCAGATGGTATCACATGACTTGCATTGGGGTCGTAAAGTGTTGCTTTGGAATTTGGCTCTCCTGATCAAAGCAATTCTTATTAACTGATTCTGATCAAGTCATCTGTTGATTCAACCATTGGTGTCTGCGTGGCTCAGCTCCTACATGAGTCGGAACCACAGGCGGTAAGTAAAACTGCATAACATTTCTGTGTTTTGTTGGTAAGTGCTTGTGACTCTTCGTTCCACCCTCGGCATGCCTCCAGGAGCTCGGCTGTTTTCGGAGAGAATCGTAAAGCTGTATTTTTCTTTTATAAATCTGATAAAACTACAGACTCTTCGGCAATATGAAGGATGCAACACTACTATATAGGTACTCAAGATTAACATGAGATTGGCTAAAACTGTGTGTTATGTCCCTTTTAAAATACAGTCTACCAAAGGGTGAACAGTTTTTAAAGCGTTCATTGCTTGCAGACATGATTAACCTTATTGATGGACAGGAATTTTAGTTTGCAAGTAAAGCTGCAAATTCCTCCCTCAACCTTAGCTGCCTTCATAATAATCATCTGATACATAACGCACGATTGAGTGAAAATCACTGCACAAATTATAAATCTATTAGCAAGAGCGCTTTTCTTCCAAACAAAAAGTTGCATTATAATGGCATTAAGCGTGCTCAGGCATGGAAAGTTAAGTGCAACGGGAGTGCAGATTGATTTCATGGTGACTTAAAGGACATACAAATGGATTTCAGTTGTTCTTGAAAAATTAGCTGATGTCATTTAACCTCCCATTAGTGTGATGACGGTCTCATTCAGCTACCTTGAAAGCAAAAGCATCAGGTTTAATGTAAAAAAAAGGCCACAGAAAGCCATGATCATGCATACCTCTCTATCCCAGCTCTGAACCCGCAGCTTTTTCCACTGTTCCCTCTTAGCAAAGTAATCAGGGTACATGGCTTTCTCTGAGGGATGCCAATGATCTAGACACCATTCAGGAACCTAGAAAAGCAGAAATGCAAGTGTACAGGGAATTAATAACTGAAAATGGCATTACAAATCATGTAGCCTCTGGTCTTTTTACTGTTCTGCCAATGAGATTCATTAGCTCCACCCAACTGATTGTCAACAAATTTGGTCCAAATAATGCCAAAACTCTGGCAAATATGTAAAACTGCAAAAGGATTCTTGATGTTAAATATTGTTTCCATGATAACACATCAAACCTTTTCTTCATATGTTTTTTTAGGAGTACTTAATATGCTTAATTTCCTGAAATTAAGAAAAAAAAAAAACTCAAATATAACAAATAGCTATAACTAATTGGATAGAAATGCAGTGCATGAAACGGTAATGCACAGCATCTTAAATTAACATTCTTTGAATTTTACAGAGAAGTATTTTTGTGACTGCACAAATTTTACATTTATTTAGGCAGTATGAATGAAGGGTAATGTCTCACATCATGCAAACGAACAAGCAATGGAGGGTTATGATGAGTTCCATAATAAATTAGTCCTACACACAAAAGCATTTTAAAGGACAAAAACCTGACAAATGTCTTGAAATAAAACATCTGAACAATGTCTTGAGGTGTGGTTACCACAGTATATACGCAGAATAATTGATTCCTCTGTTGAATCCAGTTCCCCCTTGGGTCTGCATTATTTCTCTGATAATACAACAATCTTCATTAATTATTGCTTACAAACCTTTTCATTCGGGTGAGGAAGCTGGAATTTTGTGTGACATTTGCACAACCTGTGTTATATGCTATCTATTCACTGCAGAGGATCCATTGGTGAGCAAGTGATGTAATGCTACATTTCTCCAGTGACGAAACAATCTACATCTTGGATGGTCTGAAGGGAAGTACATTTTAAGCTAACTTTCATTTTTGGGTGAACTTTTCCTTTAATTAATATAGAAGTGTCATAAATAATGCTGATAAAAAAAGGTATCTGTTACCAGTTATTTTACAGAGTCAAAACATTCAGTTGATCAATTGTTCTTTTGGTACAATTAGGTAATTGCAACAGGTATGTTGCTTCCTTGTGTTACACAAATATGGAACAGCATTTATTACAGATGGAAAATTTAAAAAAAATGGTCTTAACACTGGTTGTACAACGTACATTGCCTGAATTAAGATTTAAATTTGTCAAGTTTTCTATAATATGAGGGCAGCTGTATGAGGGGCCGTATAGGCCATAGTTATTGAAAAGTCTCTTACAAACACTAGTGAAACTAAAAACATTGATCGACCTTAGTGAAATTCATTCATATGCATAACTGAAAAACCTCTTACATACACGAGTGAAAACATTGATCAACCATATTGAAATTCATTCATATGCATAACTGAAAAATGTCTGATGCCTAGTTCACACTATAGGATTTTAAGCCCGATTTAAGCCCGATTTGCAAGTTAATGAGCTCGCCGACAGGTCGGGCTGTGATCGGGGGAAAATCAGCGGGTGATCAAGCGCTCGGCAATCTTTATGTGTGAACTACTCAACGAAACATCAGAGAGGCTCGCCGACACCAAACGAATATCTAGCATGCCAAATATCTGGACCGGTCG